CATTTAATAAAATCAGTCAACGAGGGGTATTTTCCGTGAGAAAAAAATCAGCTCGAGGAAGAAGAAAGAAAAATAAACGGAAAGCAGCGGAAATGCTATTTAAAAACGACCACTCGTCTGATCGAGCTGTGGTTGTTATCGGTTTCAAGCGAGATTTTTACGAGCGTGAACGTTAAACGATGACGTCGTAAAAACGTCGAACCGCGATTTTCTGGAAAACTCGTAAATTCCTGAGCCCACTTGTAACAGACGCCAGAGCTTTCCACGATCTCGACGGGTTGATGTTCCGAAATCTGACTAATTTCGTTTCCTCTCACATTCCGACGGTCGATATCTTCGATTCTTGAAAATAAACTCGATGTTTGCATTGATAGTCATCTCTCGTTAAATCGGCATTAGTAACGCAATGTCAGACGTCTCTATTTTGTTTAAATTACATCTGCGTAAAAATATAAAAAAAATGAAAAAAATCTTACACCTAAAAGATCTCGTTAAAAATATCGTCCGAGCGTTTGATCATGAACTTGCTGCCAGGGATGGTACCTATTATTTCATATTGCAATAGTTTCTAAATACTTTACGAAGATGTATACAGTTACTAAGTACTACATGTACACATATCGAGCTGACCACCCGCGTGCGGCCGGATCGAACAGGACTCGGCCACGAGTTGGCCAGCGGAAAGAAAGACGAAAGGGAGAGAAACGATGACGAAGAAGAAGAAGAAGAAGAAGAGGAACCGTAGGAGGAAGTTTTTGCTCGGCGTTGCACATGTGGCCAGCGGCGATTCGGCTGTGATAAAAGCTCGGCCCGTTGCTCGTGCCTCGCGGCCTCGCGAGATACAACAGCGGCCGGGATCGAGAAAAGGCCTTCTTCGGCAAGTTGAGCGAATCGCGTGTGCGATGGTGCGCACATCCGCGCCACGAAAGAACGAGACGCAGAGCCCAGAGGAGTCCAGAGGATCGAGGAGCGTGTGTCGCGCGTTACGCACGTGCGCCACCCTTCTTCGATCCTTCTTCGAGCCGGTTGCCTCGATTCACCGCCTTTTACAGGCCTCCCTGGTCATCGAATTAAGACCAGTCGACGACCTTCAACGTCATTTTATTTTTCGGGAAGTTCAGAGACACCGGAGGATTCTAATGACGAAGCTATATTGATCAAAGACGAGTTGATTCGTCGTTTCGATCTTCTCGATCCTCTGTTCTTTTACCTATCTTTGTATCTTCGTTAGAAATAAACTATATTGTATTTTTTTTTTTTTTGCAGGTGGGGGAGAGGGATTTGTAAGAAAAAACTGACCTAATTCCTCTGCTTTAAAAAGTAGTTCGTTCTCTTTACCTTGATATCTCTTTGTCGATGGTGTGCTTTCACATGCTGCATCGAATGATGAACCGCGCGAACAAATGATCCCGCGTTATAAATTACGATAATGGCCGAAGACGTTACAATCGGAGTAGCAATTAGTCTCAGTCGGCACCGATCGAACAGTTTATCGTTCCACAGCTATCGTCGTGAGTCTTTTCTTTTTCTTTTTTCTTTCTTTTTTTCGTAATTTTCAATAGAAAACTGACGAGTTCTCATCGATTCTAAAATCATAAACAATCGTGCTCGTGACCATTCTCTTTAGTACGCGGTTTTCTTTTTTATAAGTCGCTCTATGCAGAGCTGTGCTAATAATCACATACGATTATACTGTCTTCTTGCAATAAATAAATTCCTGAAAATAAAATCCTTTGGTTTATTAACCCTCACGAATGAGTTTTATACTCAAGCGCAGCGATTATTATTAATATTTCCAGTAATATTTATCGTTTACGGTTATTATCTTTCTATACTCAAATTACACAAGTACCTGAGCAATGAAATTTGAAACACAACAAAAAGCTTGACTTCTCTCTCGCGAGTCTCGATCAATTTTGTCTACCGCAGCAATTGCTCGTCCTGCTCGCAATTCGGTCCAAGTCACTTTGCTTGGCAAGTCAACCTCCGTGCAATAGCAAAAGATAAGGGGAAGGGAAGATAAAGAATATGAAGACCTTGAAAACGAAGAAAGACACCGACCGATCTAAGGAAAGAGGACGACGAAGGGTCTCTGAACGGTATCTACGATCAGCGTTGGACAAGAGAGGACTAAACGTCGCGTCGGCAGCGCGAATTCAACGCGAAAAACGTACAAACAGACAGGGATTCTTTCCGAGAAGCTAGCGGCTGTCTCGTATCTCGAATCACTCTCTGCCAAATGCCAATTATCATGAGCCGCCGCTAGCAATTAACAGGCAACAGCATCGGCGAACTGTTATATTCCTTCTTCTGGCCTCGTCGGAAAGGGGAAACAGCCCTCGGCCAGCTTGCAGCTCATTCCATTCGTTCGTATTTTCGCTTAACGCCTCGCACTTGGTACGTATCTCAGAAGATAAGAAACATCGGATCGGATATATAATCGCGCATTGTGTCACACGAAAGTACTCGGACGCTTTTCGTGGAAAACCTCTACGCGACTTGTGTGTAATATTGATTTTCAACTTTCATCGGCAAGAGAAGAATGTAAGAATTCAGAGGTTTGTTTCTACCAAGATCCATTTCTATATGCTGTAATCAGACTTTTTTTTCAGATTTCATTTTTACGAATGACTACGGCTACCCCTCCAGTTTCAGGTTCCCTTTTAAAAGCCCCTTGATTTTCTTCCTCGACACCTTCTCAGAGGTGTTCTTCTTTTTTTTTTTCTTCGCTTCGCCTCTGTGTCTCTTCGAATCTCTTTAAATTGTTTCCTTTCTGTCACAGGCACTGTTACATTTGCGGAAGACGAAATGAATGATCGAGAATTGACGCGTGAATTTGAAGAAGCAGAGTTCGAAGAAGATCGACCTAAGCATCCAAACTTTTCCAAATTTGATTCATTTAAGAGAACGTAAATATGGAAATTTAATTAAAGTTGAAAGTTTAACTCTATCAATATCTTAAGTATAATGATCTTCTTGATTCGTAGCTTTGAAAAAAAAAAAAAAAAAAAATTGACGTCTCATTTTCGTTATCTAATCTAATTTAATTGCCACGTTTCTTTATGTCACAGATGAATTGAGCAGAAAGAAAATCATGGGAGGATCGACGGTACTTAAGAAGTTTTTCCAATCAATCGACGTTAGAGATAACGTTGGTAATTCCATTAATTCGCAATTTTTTCATAAATAATTTCATGCAACGTTACGTTGCACCGATAATATTTTCTTGTGAAAATAGCAATTAGTTTTTTTTTTCAAAGTAAATGCAATATGTGATGCAACGATCATGAATCTTATTTATTATCTGTAGCATAATTTGATGTGTATATCTTGGAAAATTGAATAAACGAATGAACTTATACTTATTTTCCACTGATCCTTTTTCCTAGTAATTTTCACAAAATAAAACAAGACGCGCACGAATTTTCACGCATACAGGTCTTGGAGAAATACAAAAATTCGTAAAAATTTTAAAAACGTAACATGCATTTCTCGAAATCTGCGAATTTCTGGAAATTCGACGTCGTTTCTAGGAATCAGTAAATCTATCAAGAATTCGATAGTACTTCAAAGAACTGTTCGAGTACCTGATAACGATTACTTTACTATAAATCTTCCTACAAATCAATCAATTAACGCTTTTCTTCCAAGAATTCTTCTTTTCTCCATTTTGCAAATTCTCTGTACTATAGCAGGACGCGCAACAGTTGTCGATAATTGTAACCGATTGAATAAACACGAAACTCCGTGGAAATATAACTTTACGCATTACCATATAGTATTAATATACAATTTTGATCTAAAATTCGAATGCAGCTTACATGAAATGAAATTTAATTTTAGCGGGTGTTCCGATCTATTGGGGAACGATTTGTGAATCTTTACTCGTAAGTTTCGTAGATTAAGTGAGATACAGGAAGAACGCGGAAGGCCTAAAAATAAAGACACGATCACAAAAGTTTGCAGATTAATTCTTCAAATTCGTTTTTTCCTGCAAATGAAAATTTCTTCAATTAATGGCGCTGAAACGCTAGCGTCGTGTAGCGGCGAAACGGTGGAACTAAATTTACTCGGTAATTTCGGACGAAAAGGTGCTGTCATCTAGTGGATGGATCTGTATTGATAGAAAATAATAAAACGGGGGCGTAGAATCTCTTTCTCCAAATTAACTAATTGTTCTTTTCCTGGGTTAAATTTATGCACCTTGGGAATATTCAAGTTAAAACACTATGGAATATTAACGCGCAGCTTTGCACCAAAATTTCCCTTCCAATAATTAACTATCAACAATTATTACACCTGTGTTCCTTATTTAAACGACACGATTAATCTCTCGCGTGATTTATGCTAAACTTTCTCGCAAAAGTATAATGAAACTTTTATTCACCTAGAAATGTTTATCTATATCCCATATTCTACATCTTATATCACGTATCCCATATCTCTCGTTTATGAACGTAGTAAATTTAGTTCCACCGTCTCACCGCTACGCGACGCTAGCATTTCAATGTCCATAGATTGAAGAAATTTTCATTTGCGAAAAAAAACGAATTTGGAGAATTAATTCGTGAACTTTTGCCTGATCTCATCTTCAGTTTTAGGTCCCCAACGTTCTTCCCATATTTCGTTTAATCTACAGAGTGCGCGAACAAAGATTTTCAAATTTTATAGAATAGATCGAAACACTGTGCCGAAAAATAAAATTTAATTTCTCGCAGTTTGAATATAAACTGTACGTAATGACATTTACAACTATGTTCGATTATTCGATAAATTAAACGTAGGAGAATATTCCGATTCTTCACTGTGTCATATCGTACCTCCTCACACGTTCTATATTTTGTTTCAACAAATTGTGAAACTTCTTCTTACGTAAAAGTTAATTTCAGAACAGCATGCTTTCTATCGATGATCATAAACAAAAAGACCTTTGTTTGAATAGAAATTAAATAAAAAATTAGATCATCTACTCTATGTCTGAAGAGTTAATTCCTATTTCCTTTTCTGTACTTCATGATATTACCAAAAGGAAATTATGTATTATTGAATTAATGTTTGTACGTTGACGATAAAAACTAATAAACGAAGTAAATTTTCTCTCCGGTTTATCATCTAATTTCAAATTAATGAAAAGAAACATTAAGATACTTCTCCGACGCGAAGT